CCATAGTGCATGGTAATCTCTCCTATAAACTATGGTAAACTTTACCAAACGACTATGGGTCCCTTTACCATAATTAATAGTACACTCTGCCCTGTAATATGGTAGAGGGTACTATTCAATATAGTAATTTCTCCTATGTTCATAGGCTTCATTCCCATCGAGAGACTTACCATGGCCCATAGTATGTAATACCATACCCCATAGGAATCATTACCATAGCATAGTAATGCTTCCTAAATTTTAGAAATATATACAAGTCGTAAAATTGACATGGGACTCTTTCCCATGGCTCTTCTCTCCGTGTACCGTGGTCAGAACCGTATTTTTCACCTCTGCACCTCGCGAAAGGCAAATCTGATTCGAGGGGCTATTCACAAGCGAATTAGGTGATACCGCGATTACAAAATGTAATCGATTACGCAGGATTACGGGTCTGATTACACTGATCACCATTGCCTATGTGATAACCGTGATTGCCAAGAGTACAGAATGTGATTACATGATTACAAATGGTTTCGTCGATTACATTCTGTGATTACCAAACATCTGTAACCATTGAAATCACAAAAAATGGGCTCTTATTAAACATAAATTGGTGGAATAATTAATTATTAGAAACTGCAAAGAAATGAGGAAGGAGGGGCGGGGATTGGAACAGAGGAATGCAGTCTCATCACTCCATCTAAAAATTTGGGCATTTATAAGTGCTATCAGCAAAATAAATTTACTGAATATCTACCATTGATGGAGAATGAAACTTACTAGCAGATAATTCAGAGATAATTCAGTCGTTGGTTCTCCAGAATAAGAAGATATTTTAACGCTGTTGAATGAATTTTCTACGGACAAATGTTCTGTGCAAAACGTATTGGCTATGCAAGGGACTGAACCATAAACATCTGGGATTCCAAGAAAAATTGATCCCGGGATCTCTAAGACTTACTGTTGGTAGAAATGACGCGCTCGAAAATTCAACAACAAAATTCACGGTCTCACTAGGAGCAACTACGAAAGATTACAGTGATTACAAATGATTACCACTTGATTATCAAAACTTGATTACAAATATGATAATCATGTGATTACAACGATTACATTGATTTCACTGGGATTACAATTGATTACATCAGCGGGTGACACCGCGATTACGCCTGTGAGTAGCCCCGCGATCTGACTTTGCGCCCGTCGGGGAGAACGAATATATTTCTGACCTGGGGGCGTAAAGTAAAGGCGTCGTGCCCACGTACGGCACAGAGGGCGCTTCGCGGACGCGAAATCTGTGTTTGCGCCATATGCCAAGACGAAAAATACGGTTCTAACGACGGGAGGTAAAATAAAGGATCCTTAGGGTGACTGCCCAAGGAGTAGTATCCACATGGAGGCGCATTCGTATAACCAATTAAATCACAAGATTTTTCCGTCCATTTTATTTGCTCGACTCTGGTTAGTGTACGCGGATGCGTCTCCCTGTGGATTCTGTTCCATAAGCAGTCTCACCCCTGATCCACGTATTTATCCTCCTCGCCTTCGGCTCGGGTGGTAATTTCCCACGTGGGCACGACTATTTTATTTTACTTCCCTAGGTTAGAAATACACTATTTCTCACTTGACATTAGTAGTGCCGCAAGACACTTTATGAGACAAAACTTTGGAGAGATGATTTCGGTCTCAATGAATATGGAAATCTTTGTTCTCATGTCAGTCTCGAAATACGCAGTATCGACTCCTCTCCTGATGACTCCAAGTCTCTATCTCATCTCGGTGTCAAGTTTTTCATGTTTTTTAATGTAAAATCTCGGTTTTTGTCTCAGTTTGTCTCATCTCAGTTTTCTATAGGGTGACAAATGGGAATAGGTGAAAATTAAACTATCATAGTTTTGTTGATTGATGTAGGAAAGGAAGAACCATCATGTTTGTAGACACAATAGACTTGGCAAATTTATTTGCAATTAGTTAGAGTTGCATTTCATTTTTTTTTAAATAAAAATTCACACGATGAAAGAATTGATCAAACACATTCGAGGGCATATGACTAATGGTAAATACTCTCGAAGTGTCCTCCATCAAAATTTGCGCAATAGTCAAGGCGTTTCTGAAAACTATGGAAGACTTTGTGACAATCTGGTTGTCACAGGTTCTATTTTTATTTTAAATTAAAATAATCAATTAATTAAATCGTGAGTCTCGGGGGGAGCTCAAGCTCCCTTCCTTTCGATAGAAACCGAGGGAGCCATTGGGAAAATTCCAACGAATTGGAATTATTATTAATTATTTGGGAATTATGGTCGAGGAGAGGAATCGTCGAGGAGAGGATTTAGAGGAGAAGAAGAGGACGGCCCTGAGAAAAATCTCTTGGGGCCAACTGGAACCCGTTGATCACCTAGGGATGGACCTGATTCGCTGACCGAGAAGAGGAGCCAACCTGGAGCGGGGAAGCTCCGACTTCCGACAAGGACAGAAAATGCCGGAGTCAAGGAAAATCCTGGATGAACCTGGGGAATCATCCCCAGGATAAGGAAGCATCGTGGGAGAAAATCCACTACGATAATAAATTCGGAGAACTTTTTATATTGACAATTTGAGTCAAAACTAAATTAAATATTGTAACGATTATCCAGTCCAGGTGGCATTTAGTTGAGGATTTGATTTGATTAGTTTGAAGTTATTAGAGAGGGGGTAGGCTCTCTGATTGAGAATGATTTTTGGCGAACTGGCCGCGTGGTGTCAGTTCTCCGCGAGACATCGTAGAGTATATAGAGTAGCAGTTTTGAGTAGTAGAGCAATCCGCATAGCAGATATTTTGAGTTGAGTAGAGTAGAGTTGAGTTTTGAGTTGTTTTGGAGATCTCGACGGTCGGGAGCAGCTGGAGCGGATTCTGGGGTCCTGGACTGGATGAGTCGACATAAGTTGTAGCCTTGAGCATTGTTAAACTTTCAAGATCGAGGCTCCAGCTTCTGAAGTTATTCTCTGTTGAGAATAACTTCTCAGTTATATTAATTTCGTTGAGTAGATTTTGGGAGACCAGTGAGTCTCAATAAATTATTCTGTTTGTGGTAGAGACGAAATTCATTTAAATAATTTCTCCTTCGCACTGGTTGGGATCAGCGGTCCATCCAGATTTATTTTCATGGTGTAGAAATTCTTATATTTCTTTTCAAAATTATTAGCTCCAATTTTTGTGATTATTTAGAATATATTGGATTTTCAAAGGTATAAAATGTGTCGTGTTGTGTTTGATTTTCAAGAATCCGAATCCCGATTAAGGGAGTATCGTCCTCCCTCCCCCTTGTAATAAAGAGTCCGGGTTGGAGATTTGTTGAGTCTTTTTGAGTAATTTTTAGTGTTGAGAGGAAAATTGGGTTTGGCATTTGTCTATTTAGTCAAAGTGTAGAAATAATTAAAATAGACTGGTGCCTTTTGGGTAATATTTCACGTTGGGTTGTTTTAAAAAGACTTGAGATAATTTGTGGCGATAATTAGAGAAAATTAAAGTCATTTTGGTGTTTTTGAATTTTAAGATTCGTCACAACTTCTTTAATTTTAGCTTGAGAAATATTAGAAACAACCTTCTGGATAGCGCTTATCAGAGCCTCTTTTGTCTGAGGATTGTCCGCGTAACAGAAGTCTTTGAGATAACTCTACAAGAAGAAATCGCACGGGTTGAAATCCGGTGAGTATGGTGGCCATTTCCATCCCAGCTCGGGCGAAGCGAGGATACCGATGACGCGATCACCGTATACTTTGTGCAATGCAGCAAACACATCATTAGTTCGATGTGTTGCACCTTCCCCAAAATCAATAATTTTGTTTATTCACGTAACCATTAAGGTAGAAAAGAGCTTCATCCAAGAAAATAATTCGATTAGCTTCGATTTCAGCATTTTCAAACATTTGCGTCAAAACTTTGCTGAATTCAAGTCGTTTCCCTATAGCAGCTTGCGTAAGCAATTAGTGGCAAGTAATTGTATAAGGATGAAGTTTGAGGAAATGTTTAATTATCAAACGTAGGGTCTCTTGGCTCAATTCTAACTTCGCAGCCGCCTTGCGTATTGAATCAGTTGGATGATTTTTGAAATGTTTTTCCACTACTTCCGTCGTTATTGTATAAGATGGACCTGGAAGATCATGGCAACGATCCTGTAGGGTACCATATTTGACAAAATTATCAATTACCCTACAAAAAAGAACACATTAACTCAAAAAATTTATTGGGGACTAAACTCAAAAAAAAATCGTACAGAACTAAAAAATTCCTACCGTTTGAACTTAATATGAAAGCCTCTATACGCATTTTTGTAATTTTTTCCTCGGGAATAATAGCACTCAATGAGATACACTTTTTCTTCGACAGTAAGTTTATTCATTTTGGAGGATATGAAGTAGACCCCGGAATGTCCCAACAGAATTTGCCAGGTTCCAAGTTTCAACCGATAACAGCCCGATCCCTAGTGACAAAGTGGAGAAGGAAATATAGGGGAAAAGTTTTCACCTATTCCCATTTGTCACTCTGTACATATAAAAAACACAAAAAATTGGAAACTGAGATGAGATAAATCAACTTGGAGTCATCACGAGAGGAGTTGATACTGCGTATTTCGAGAATGAAACGAGAGTAAAGATTTCCATGTTTGAGACCGAGATAATCTCTCCAAAGTTTAGTCTCGTGATATCTCGTGGCATCACTACTCGTCATAGGGAAGTTCTTTGTACTGAATTTTAGGGTTCTTCTTCTTGAAATTAAGGAAGAGGGTTCATTTTAGGATTCTTTTTCTTCAAATTAAGTAATAGCCCATAGGCTGCGACAGGTTCCGTATACGCTTTTAGGTCCATTGAATTTTATCATTGAACTGCATGTTTTTGGAGTTCCTGAACACGAATATTTTACTCCAAATCCGTAACTGGTTTCCTTTTTTTCTGTGCATTTTTATTTGCAACGATAACAAATGTTATGCGCAACTAAAATTAATGGTTTAATAAAATTTGGGAACGTCTTGATGCAGAGGATGCCTTTAGGAGCTGTTATCCCGATGTCAGTGGATTCGATGCATGTATCAGGGAGGGCTTAAATGCAGTCAGGCCCTATTTCAAAACTGGTTTATCCAAGTACAACATAGCACCATTTGATCCATTTTTTGCCAAGGAGACGACGGTCAAGAGGGGACTACCAAATTTTGGATTCAGCTTGACGCTGAGGAATATTACCGAGAGCGGCTGGACGGCTAGCAAAGTTACGAAATTCGTCAGCGATTTGCCTAATTACAAAGTAATTTTCTTTAACCCATGCACCACTTTTGAAAGTAATGAATATTATTCTTGCTGAATGGGAAAATGCGCCAAATTTCTTTGTCAAATTGTCCATAGATGGGATCGGAAGTTGAACTATATACGATCATTCCGCAAGAGACGCACGAGAGACATATTCAATAAAAATTACGTATCTTTTCCATAATTCCGGAGCGCAATGTGGTTCTAGAAAATTTTACGGAACTGTCACGGAATGTTTCTAGAGCGTTCCGTAATTTTTACCTGAATTTCCTGTGAACAATTACGATACGGTCACTGAAATTTTCTGAGTCGATTCCGTAATCGGTGAGCGAACTATGAGTTCCGTAATTTTTACTGAACATTTCTCTCCGTGCAGAAATATTTGGAAAATTGATTCAGCAAAAATGATTTTTCTTTTCGTGCAAATGTGAATTCTTTTATTGGATTTCATTAAATGTCGATGTTTCTTTAAGGTTGTTTACACTCAAAGTTTCCCAGCAAAGTTCTTGAATGGTGATTATGAATTCAGAGGGAATATTTTGGGCCCCAGGATGATCAACAACGGGAAATTCACATTAGATTTGTGTAAGTTTTTTTTTGTGCTAGGTAATTAATCACACATCTCATTAACGAGTGTTTTTGGAAGAAACTGTTGAGTTTTTTTGGATGAGGAAACTTTCCATAAAGATTCGTTTTTACATTTTTTATAATTGGACTTAGTATCCGCTGTTATACCCCGAGACCTTGAAAAATATTGGATATTTCTCGACAGTTCTGTTGCACAGTAACATCCAGAGAATCGGCGAATTTTCAGTGAATAAAACTTTACACTTCTCTATTTATTCAAACAATATTTTTCTTGGAAGTTAGTAAACTCGTAGACATACAGAGTGTCCCAAAACTCGTTATAAATATCGTGAGGGTAACTCGCGGGTGTTATTCAGATGCGAAAAGTCTATTAGAAATTTTGTCCTCGGCGTTGTGTTTAGCGATATATAAGCCAATACCAACCAAAAGTTAGTCCCTATGGATTTCTGGAAAAAAATCGAAATGACTTAATTTATTGCATTTATTGAAAAATTCAATAACTCATAAGTTATTGAGTTTTTCTATCCTCATATGTTGTTGATGAAGGCAATAATAACTGTTTGAATCAAATAAGAAATTATTTGTTAGTTAATTCTTTGAATCAAATAAGGAATGATTTCACGAAATAACCATTTTTTAGAGTTATGCATCGCAGAAACCATGTACTATAAAATTTTACAAAACAATCACCGTATTCGGAATTTATCAATCTACCATCGATTTGTTTGTTTAAAAACATGGTAAGAACCGTTTCTCATAAGATGGAAAAAGCGAGTTCGGGGGACTCATAGCTTGTGTTTGGTCTATGCCTCTCGTGCTAGAGCCCGCATTTAATTATTTATTATCTGCTAAACTGCATAGTACAGCTAGTTAGATTTGTTTTAATTGCTGGAGATTATTATAGACTTTAACTATGAAAAGCATGGGAACAATCGTAAGAAAACCCTGTTTTCTAGGGTATATACCTTAAGGAGTTATTCTTCAACAAAGTAGAGATCCACTGCAAGTCACCCGCTTTTTGAAAATTCATATCACCGCTGTCATTTGATGGAGGAACGGAAATGACGGCGATCGATTGGGAATTTAATAGGCAATGATCGGAAAAACATTGTTTCCCTAGCAATATGGCCGGGTGAGGAAACCTGCAGTGAACTTTACCGCGGCGTAAGAGACATTGGCTCCTACCCACAATGTGACCCTAAAAATTAGAGTAAATGTAAAAAATTCATATCTCTTTTATATCATCCATTCCGTTCTCATTTTATATCGAGGGGTGAAATTGATTGGAATCTATCGGACATTCAATACCATGATCCCTTTGCCTTAAATGGAAGAGGGGACATGATTTCTTTATCGAGGAATTGCGTTTAATTTTGTCTTTTTTTCTTCAATAACTCATAAACAAAGTGTCGAAGATCAAAATTTCATGAGAACTTTCGTTTTCAAATGACCCTCCCCCCTCCCACTCCGAGTCGCTGTTACGATATGTACAATGAATTTTGGGACACTCTGTGTAGTACACTGAAAATATTTTGATTAGGTAAGATGAATAACTCATTCATGCTGAATAAATCCTCTATTAGGATCGAATAAACGATTTATTTGATCCTAATAGGGGGTTATTACGTATTAACAAATAAGTTCTTGTTGTCATTTAAACACTGATTCCATTTTTAAATAATATATATTATTCTTGATTCGCGTATATAATATACTTGATTCAAATATATTTTAGACTCGAATGGGGGATGGGTGTTTCAATTCGAGAATTATTATTTCATATCAGCCCAGGTTGTACCAAGCGCTTTCAAGTGTTATATAAGGGTCAGGTACTAAGTGTGAGAATATAAGGGTCAAAAAGTGGCCAGGTCAAAAATAAAGATCGGTATATTGGGGTCAAACAAAAGAGGGTCAGAATGTAAAAGGAAAAAAGTAGGTATCAGGCAATCAGGGTCTATAAATATAAGGACTAAGAAGCGTGACCAAGTATAATATATGGCTTATATTTAGACCCTCATTGCCTGACACCCATTTTTTTTACTTTTATGTTCTGACCTTCATTTTTTAACCTCCACTTTTTAACCCTTATATCCTGACACTTAGTGCCTGACCCTTATACAATATTACACTTGAGAGTGCTTGCTACAACCCGGCCCGATAAAAAAGAATCATCTTCGAATTGAAATACCCATCAAGTATTTTATGCTCGAATCAAGAATAATATATTTGAATCAAGTATATTTTATTCTTTATTCAGGTTCATGCATATACGTGATTCTGGCACAAAATATATTCAATTCAGGTATTTTTTTTCGTCGTGGAGTTGGCCATCATTCCGTAAAGACCACTTCTATGACAATTACTTTGGCAGGAAATCCCAAAAAACCTTTTAGCTAAAAAAAAATACAAAAAAAAATTCCTTGGCATTTTATTTTAGAATTACTCACAGCTGAGATAATTACACAGGAACGGATAATTATTAATGCCATTTCTTTTGTTCCTGTTGGCAGATGACCTCGTGCAGACCACCACAGTCACCAAACAACCGGGCTCGAAGTTAACTGTACGTGTGGAGGTTCAGACGATTCGTGATCTGAAACTTCACATCACGAACCTGGTTCAAGGTCGTTCATTTATCGAAAACATCGTAGATAGGGTAATCAACGGTGTTTGGCAACCAGGTTTTGTGATGTCGCGTGGTATCATCAACGACTTGGTGTCCAACGCATTCACCGAGATTTTCGGAAGAGCATTTTCCGATTTTCCATTTGATAAAATTGTCAGAAAGAAATCTGTGAAGACTTCCTAAACAATTCAATAGTGAAGTGGTAAAAGGAGATAATTATAGAATAGACTCATGCATTATTGATTGGCAGTGAATATTCGCGAAGGAAAGAGGTACATTGAGATGTGAAAAAAATATTCTTAAGTAACTCTTGTTTGAACCAAATCAATCGCGGGCTGAAAATTACCAAGAGTGAAATTGTTTCATTTGAACAGAAAACAAGTTATAAAGAGGAATAATCGTTCTGCTTTGAACAATGAAATATTTAACTCAAGAGGCGGTATATTTAATAGCAACGGTGCCTTTTCGAGATGAAAATATCTCTCGTACACCGAAGTTCATCAATAAATATTTTCTTCCCAACTTACAGCTATTATACCGTCGTTATTCTTCTATTAGGTGTACAAATAAGTTTTAGGACACTTCGATTCCGTGTCATGAAAGTAATTCAAAGTTACCGTTTACATATGATATGGTGGGGTTTGTTATGTAGTATCAAAACATAAGGAAGTCATAAACATAACCTTAAATTCTGTGAATAAAACATGCAGACCGATAAGCTATTTATTAGATACTGCATTCGCTATGAATTCCATCAAGGAAAAACTGTTAGGAAAGCATGTCAATCGATTTGTTCTGTTCTTGCGGACAACATTGTATCTAAAAGTACATGTGAGTATTGGTATAAGCGATTTAAAGAAGGTGTGTTCGATGTTAGCGACCGTGAATGTACCGGGGCCCCTGTAAGGGTGGATGACCAGGAACTGCAAGCGTTGCTGGATGAAAACTCTTGCCAGACGGAAAAACAACTCGCAAAACAGCTTGGAGTAACTCAACAGATAGTTTTCTATCGCTTAAATGCAATGGGAAAGATTCGAAAAGGAACAAAGTGGGTGCCACACTTTTTGACTCAAGAGTATAAAAATAGCCGACTTGCCATATATCTGAATCTTTACAATAAACAACATAGAAAGACTTTTTTGTGGAAAATCGTGACCGGCGATGAAAAGTGGATTTATTTTGATAGTCCAAAACGTAAATATCATTGGGTTAACGTCGACGAGCCGACGACATCGACACCGAAGCGCAATATTCACTGTTAGAAGATCATGCTGTGTATATGGTGGGATATAAAAGGCGTACTGCATTATAAACTTGTGAAGTCTGGCGAGACAGTTACTGCCGATCGCTACCGTCAACAATTAATAAGATTGAACCAAGAAATTGAACAAAAACGTCCATTTACTGGCAAACGAAAATGTCCAGTAAAATTGCTCCATGACAACGCCAGGCCTCATGTGGGTAAACCGGTCAAAGATACGTTAATGGCTCTTGGATGGGAAGTTGTGGCACACCCGGCGTATTCACCAGACAGCTCCAACTGATTTTCACTTGTTTCGGAAGATGCCAAACGAATTGACTGATGTGCGATTCCAAACATTTGAAGATGTGCAAAAATGGGTCGATAATTTCCTCGCCTTGCAAGATGAAACTTTCTTGGCGGAAGGCATCCGTGAATTACCTAATAGATGGCTGAATGTCATTCAAAATGATGGAGATTATTCAGATGAATAAATCTAGTTTACTTATTTTCGAAAATGAATTTTAAATTTTTTGCAGTGTCCTAAAACTTATTTGTACACCTCATACTTTAGAAGCAATTTCCCATTTTTCTTAATTAGCCGAAACAAAAAACTGAAACTCTTGTTTCGCAAGAAACATTTTTCGGTAGAAACATAAATACGTATGGTGGTATAAAATAACGAATAGGTAATGTTAAAAATAAGATTTTTGAGACATAAGTTTTTCATCTGAAGACACTCTTTAAATCACTCTTTAGCACGATTTTTTTATTCTAGGTTATTTTCAACTTATGATTTTTTAAAATTCCAACAAAACTTGAAAGCATGTTTTTTTCTCAGGACAGGGAAATTCATCGGAAGAGCTTTTCCATAGATTTCATTGTCTAAAAAAAGTATGTTCTAAAAATTTTCATTATTCCAATATATTAGGTTCAAAGATTTTTAATGCTATACTTAATGCATTTTCTCTGAAACACTTTTGACGAAAGATTTTGCAAAAAATATCAGAAGGCCTTCCTTGCAGATAATTTCATGGGTATTAGAAAAATCTTTCGACGTTTTTCTCTGAACCTCCCAATTTCAGAGGTGTTAGCGAGATAATTATCTCCTTCTGTCACTTCGCTCGACAATTTTCGATTCGTTTTAAATCCCGACATTTGTTTTCTATTGTTTCTTGTAAATATGGATAAAATATATTTGTAATTCATTTCTACTCTTCATATTTTATCAACAATGAATTTCCCGCTGGGGCACCTCCATTTCGTAGTGCTCTCCAAAGTCCATAAGTTGTATAAAGATACAGTAGCGATTGAAAAACAGGGCTGAAAAGAAGGGCGAGCTCTGTTTGAATCGTTAGCTGCTTACCTTGAGACATTCCCGCAATACTGTACGGTCTCTGACCCCACATTCTTTTATCACAGCCATAGCTCCATGTCCATCCAGTCGAGTTCGACAGGTTTGATCACCGTCCGATGAAAGTCCATTCGTTCACTATGGAAAATAATCCAAAAACATTATTAATATTACTGAAATGTCCTGGAAAGAGAGCGAATAACACTGGCGTGTTTGATATGTTCGACAGGATCAGCATCAAACCAAAAATAGAGAAGAATAGAAATGAATATAATGAAATAATAAATTAAAATGATGTGTATGGAATGGTGACGCCAATACTACTGTTTAATAGCAGGTTTCTCTGATCATATCGGTCATATTTAATTGCCTAATCAACTCCTTTACAGACATCAGAGGTCTTGTTTGGGGATGTGTCTAAAAGAGTTGATGATGGGATCCATGACATGCTCGAAAATTCCATAATAGTCAGATTCGATAAATGGCGCAGATTAAAATACATCAGAACATTGCTAATTATTCATGACTAGTGATGCCGCGAGACGCGAGAGAAACGAGACGAGATGAGATAAACGAGACGAGAGACATGACGAGCCGAGACGAGAAGAGTTATTCGAGACAATGGCAGAAGCGAGACAAGACGAGAAAAGCCGGTCGAGAACGAGAGAAACGAGAGGCGAGACGAGAGTCGAGAGTGCCTCCCCCTCTCTGCCTCACTGTGTATTTTGTTTTCGTGCAAATTGGATTACAGAGACAAGATGAGACGAGACGAGCTGAGACGAGACGATCCGAGACCAGACGAGACGAGGCGAGATGAGACGAGACAATCTCTCAATTCTCGACGAGACTAGTCTCGTCTAACTAGAGAATGGTTTCCTGACAATGAGACGAGACGAGAAATTGCATTTTCTCGTATCGTCTCGTCTCGTCTCGCGGTATCACTGTTCATGACTGTTGGTCTTACTTTTACTCTTCTCACGTCAGCAATGAAAGTTTCACTCAGTAAATAAAACTCTTCGAATAGTGTGGAAAAGTGCAAGTTGTAGTTGCTGACCCTCCCTAGGAATTTCAATCAATCCAACTATTCAAAGATTTCATTACCCATGAATGGAAACAATTCAATATGATTTCTAAACAGATTTATGGTGACTTGAAGAATTCTTTGAGATACAAAATTGTTAATTCTAATTATTGTTTATGTATTCCCTTGAATTATTGTTTTGCTTGTAAGGCCATCAACAGGCGTTTCATTAGGCGGTTTCGAAGAAAGTTGACTGTAGAATTGCGTCTGGCGTTTAAACCCCACTACCATCACTCCATTTCACCTCCAATAGCGTTGCTTCTCCCAATGTCAAGGTGCTATAAGTCCCAACGCATCACCTTCCGTTCGTTCACTCCTGTCGAAGTCGTTCTATCATTTTGTCCTTCGGTCCTGTCTGCTTGGATTTGGGTCAGTCATTTAGTTCTTCAGGGATTGAGGGTTGATTTTTTAAAATAAAATCATGGAGGGAGTCAGTTTGAAGTGTTTTGCGTGGGTTTTAATGATTCTCCATTGTGCTAATGCCATTGGAAAATACAGGGGACTGGAATTTATTGAACCATGCTCGAGAAGTGATCCAGAACTGGAAGCCTGTCTTGCGAGATCTGCCAATGTTCTTACTCAGAAATTTGCAAGTGGTGAATATGAATAATCATTATATTTATAATTAAACATCACAAAATCTTAACTCCAATTTTCCGATTTTCAAGTTTTTTGTGTCTTTTAACTAAATGCTTCATTTTGAAACCTTCTGAATTAACTGTTGTTATTGTTATCTGAAATTATTAGGGATGAATTCAATTGATTTTTGTAGTTTATATGTGGGTGAAGATGGCCGTGAAATTTAAAAGAATGCGAGATGACGTAAAATCTGTTTTATCGACTACTGTATTTGAATTCATACCGGCATATAAAGCCTCCATCATCTAATATTCTGGGATCATGCTGAAAGGAAAATGTACCGTCCGTTCAACCAGGTTATAACGGTGCATTAGGAATGGTAAAACTCTACTGTCCCATATACCGTACACCTAAATGAGAATGAATGGATTTTCTACTCAAGTATACGTTTCGACATGATACCTAATCAGCTCGTAAAGTATTCACAAGGCTTTTCCAGTTCATCGACTCATGCAAAAATATACCTTGCTCTTAGGAAATAGAATAATAGAATGAGATTTCTTTTTGAAATTTTTGCCTCTAAGTGAAAGTCTTGTAATCATTCGAATTTGAGGTTTCAATTTTTTGTGTAATAACTCATAATATATAATACATAATATTCAACTCAATGTATAATATATATTTCACATGTATATATATCATCGGTGAAATTAATAAATTCTGTCCTTTTATGGAGACCGATTATTTTAAAAAATTGAAGATAATTAATTGAAAATGAAAAATTCTTTATAGATTCTTTTACTCTACTTCGCTATTCACTTCAATCATTAGTCGAATTCTCTTTGATTCATTATCAATATTTATAATGTATTCATGAGAAAAGGAAATTCAATGAATTCCATTTCTTCATTTCAACAAATGAATAGATCAGCGCGCGCATAGATCTTGTGTATAATATATGACAAAGCTTTTCGTGAGTGGTTGGCTTATGAATTCATCTAATCTTTTTTTTTTAATGTGGATATTGTCGAGTCCTATTCATCGAGATTAATTAAAATTTAACCCATAAGTAAAGTTTTCGGATGTTCGAAATTTTTTAAAAATTTGTTGCTCGAGAATAACTTGAAAAATGATATTTCGAATTGATTCAATGCCGGCTTGAAAAAAATTTTTGGATATCATTTTGACAGAGTTCGTAGATGATACTTGCATAATTCGTTCAGAATTATTGTAGAATGATTTGAAACGTAAAAATACGAAGCTTCGCGATTATGTCCGTATGCGCACCTCTCCGCCGTCACTTTTCCGGTTGTCAATTTTCAGAAAATTGAATAATTAAATGGCCAAAATAGTTCCAAAAAACTGAAATTTTGTCAAATTGCAAGCATTAATGATGACTCAGTCTGTGCAAAATTTTAGCCCCATCGGTCCTATGCTTTTTAGGAAAAAGCGATTCGTCTTTGAATGTTTTTTCGCCAATATCTTCAAAACTAGTCGATCAATTTCAAAAATCTTTCTTTCAAAGTATTATTTTCAATGCCTTCGATCTAAATCAATCGAAACATATGTGACCGTCCCGGTGCAAAGGGCCCAATTTGTCGATGTGGAGTTATGCATACTCCAATAATATTAATAAATAATTTTTTTTTAATCCTGTTAAAATTTCACTTCTCTATCTCATTTTTAAAACCCCCCCAGCAGCCTTGTTTTTTCCATCAGAATAATTGCATTGTATATGATGTGAATGAAAAGCGAAAAACTTCTATCAAAAGTAGTTCATTTCATCAGTAATTTTCCACGATTATAAAATTCTTAGAGACATAGCAGGAGGGAGGGGATAGATTCAAATTCTTCATGAAAATCCCGTGTTATTCTTATGGGAAATAACAAGGCTCTTTTGGGGAGCGTTTTAGAATTAAGATAGAGCTTAAACTCCTTTGGTCGCGTCGTATCAGCGCCGCGCTGCACCAGCATAAATCGACATAATAATAAATTTGAAAGATCTAGAAAAAATTTGAAAAAAATTCAGAGTGACTCAGAGTGATTGTATACTTGAAGAAGTCCGGTGATATTTTTAATGTTCAGTATTACCCTTAATTATATATTCAAGCTCAAGGTTGCCACATTTTTCTGAAAATTCGCCTTATACACGGGGTATACACGGCCCGGAGTTTCGCAATAAAAATTTGAAAAACTAACTACTTATGATACTTTTAACGAGTATTTTCGTTGATAGGGCTTCTAGACACTTCAAAATGAAATGTCAAATTTTTTCAAATTTTTTTGAGGCTTTACTGCAGTGTAATTTGACAAATCGGGAGAAATGCGGGGCGCGGTGCTCAGCGCGACCAACGGTGTGTTAAATTTTGAGAGGAATTCTTTTTCTATTTATTTCGAGTCTTGAGGGGGCGGCACATCAAAAATTCCGAAACGGGTACCCTAACGGTTACTCTAGTATATCTGTCCATACAGAACATTCAAGATGTTGCCATTTTTTCATTTCTTTCAAATTAAACTTTTCTGCACGTATTATAGCACCCGTGGAGGTGACAGTAAACATCTGAAATTTTGGCTGCTGGTTAGTGTGTTCAAGTTACAAAATTTTTTAATATTTCAGTCCATTCGGAAGTCCACTACCACTGTATTGATGACGAAAAAAGTATTCAAATATCAGTCAGTGAAATGCTCACTGTTACATGCTAGCTGTCCCCCATTTATTTAAAGCCGTATTGATGATGGTAGAATTTTCTAAAAATTCACTTTCACTGATGACTCAAACTGCTTTCAATTTAACAATTCGAAATTACTCGAAATTGATTCAATTACCGTTCGGGATAATTATTTCCTTGTGACATTATCAAAAAAATTATACTATGATGAAGATATATACTCAGCGAATCGGTAAACCGGGTTGAGTCGTTTTTTACTTTTGGCCAGTTTTTGATGAATATCCCGGAATCTAAGAGAGATAGCAAATTTTTTTTCATGACCATTTTTATAACCCTCAATTGGCTCTACAAAAAAGGTCATAACACAAATTTAGCTATCTCTTTTAGACTCCGAGATATTCGTCAAAAACTGTAAACTAGTCAAAATCGACTTTAACCCGGTTCACGGCTTCGCTACTGTATTATCCCCTTGATTTCTTGGTAACACTTGAATAATTAAGTTTTGTGTCTTCTACGATGTTCTACCAGGATTACCAGAGCTAGGATACCCAGAAGTAGAACCAATAATCCTGGATGAGGTTCACATTGCCCTTGGGGGCGAACCTGACGGGTACAGAGCACAATTTCGGAATGTGACTGCTAGAGGTGTATCATCTCTGCGCATTACAGGGTTGAGGACTAGAATCTCAGATGATGAAGTACAAATACAATTGGCTCTTAGCATCCCGAGGATTCGGGCTGCAGCAAAGTACAGATCGAGTGGTAAATTGATTCTGGTCCAGGCCAGTGGGGCTGGAGATTATTGGGGTGAATATGGTGAGTAAACATAAAATAGGAACTAAATACTAGGGTAGGAGATTGGTAGAAGTTGGCTAAAAGCAAGATGGGAGAAGCTTAAGAGGTGAAAGCAAGATAATATAAGAAGGACAGGAGATTATAGGGCTCAGAATGGAAAACCGTAGAAGAGATAGAAAGTTCAGAATTGTCATGGTGTGAGGGGGGAGGGCTAAGGTGAGGTGAAGATGAATAGGATTAGGAAAATATTGGGGTACAGGGAAGAAAATTATTAGTTTTAAGTAGAAAATTTCTCAATTCTAGAAATCATAATTTTCAACTTGTATTTTTCTACAATAGAGCAAGTTCTTCCTAATTTTTAGATGAAAATTATACAGATGCATGAATCAAGATTTTTATAAATTGAAGGCCATTTTTATTGGGAGTTAAGCAAATGGACAAAATGTTTTAAGGTGCTTCTTGTAAAAAGTGAAAATAGTGAAGAAAAATTGAAAAATTCAGGGAAGAAGTATCTGAGTATAGGCCTTTGGAACAAAGATTCCCTCGACTTTGATTCAAGTTGTTTTTCAGAAATTGTTTTAAATTAAAGTCGCGCGACTTTGAGTGTATTTATGGTCGCCATGGCTTGAATTAAGCGCCGCGTCCTTCAACGAGCGTCGGATTTTTCTCTATTTGTATCTGAGTATGTTGCATCACTGGGAATTTTTCGAAAATTTACCCAGATCTTCGCGAAAAAATCATGAATTTTCAATGGTTTTGTATCCTCTCCAGCCGTAAAGTTGAGATTATCGCACTCCAAGTTCGAAGATTTGTTCTGACGCCTCTAAAAATAATGAAAAATCCGAGAAAATTAGCATACGAGAAACTAAATCTTGATTTCACTTCCCTGCGACTTTTAATCCTGCTCTAGATCTTTTGATCAAGATATATTGAAAAATAAAGCCCTAAATCGTCGATTTCTGCCATTTTTCATTCACTCCACCATGAGATGTCCTCAATGTCGCTCTCGACCTCATTAGCGCGAAATTCAAACGTCGGTACAAATCTTCTAGTCATTCGGTGTAAATTTCACGGAGAATATTTATTGTATCGAGAAACGCGGTAGCATATCGGCCGAGAAAAGTTTTGACTCCGACTGTAGAAAATATTAGGCTGAGCACACCGCGTATGTATGCACGACGGAACTTCCTCTTCCACTGCCTCTGAAAAATCTCTATTTAATATAGACCTTTTCATTCTGGAAATCTGGGGAAATATTTATTCCGTTCATTAAACTGAAAAATCTCCAGAGAAATAATAATAAATTCTGATAAATATTGACATTTAAGATGATATACATTTGAGCCCTTAAAAATAATGATTTACACTGAGAAAAATCCGACGCTCGTTCAAGGACGCGGCGCTTAATTCAAGCCATGGCGACCATAAATACACTCAAAGTCGCGCGACTTCAATTTAAAACAATTTCTGAAAAACAACTTGAATCAAAGTCGAGGGAATCTTTGTTCCAAAGGCCTACGAGTCTTTGACTGTTGCAATTTAATGACGTAAGGAATTGAATCAACTGCCTACACTGATAGAAAGGATTAGTTATTATTAACGAATGGATTTGGTTGGAGACGAGGGTCTATTCGGTCTCACCAAATGTTCATTCGTTAATAGTCAACAAATGCATATTTGAGAAGCCTTGTTTGACTCGATGTTCACTTTTCAAGCGAACCATTCGTTAACTATTAACGAATATTCATTTGGTTATATTCAACTCTACCATTCGTTAATAGGCCGAAACCAATGAATTGATGACAAATCGCAGTCTGGAATATCCATTTATTCAGAAGATGTTTCTTGTAAACTGAAAATTATTCTTGTTCCCCTCCTACCTAAATCCTATTCAACAATATCCTGTAACATCACAAGATGGGGAACGCTATATAAATTCCCGTCTTCAGTGAAGACTCATTTTGGATGGGTCGAAGGAGAAGTATAGCATTGCCCAATGTTTAATAGGGTTACTATTTTACTGGCAAATAATTCTGTGACACAAATTGTCAACTGTTTTTGGGTGCTCCTTGGAAATTAATTCCAGCAACCCTGGCGGATCTGTCGATTGTAGAATCGATCTGATCAGTATATCGATTCGTATGCGAGTGTAGTTCGATTCAGATCTCAGATTATTGATGGAATCGCAGATGAATCGACTTCATAGGAATTCGATAGCTAGTCAATTTCGAATGACAAAAATTTATTGCACCAAAACTTGAACGACTCATGGGGTGATCGATTATGAAAGACTCCTTACGGTCGGACCAGGATCGACTTGAAGAAAGGCGATTGTGACTCGATTGCCCGCATATTATTCACATCAATCGACGCACAAAGGAAAAGTATAGCATTGCCCAATGTTTAATAGGGTTACTATTTTACTGGCAAATAATTCTGTGACACAAATTGTCAACTGTTTTTGGGTGCTCCTTGGAAATTAATTCCAGCAACCCTGGCGGATCTGTCGATTGTAGAATCGATCTGATCAGTATATCGATTCGTATGCGAGTGTAGTTCGATTCAGATCTCAGATTATTGATGGAATCGCAGATGAATCGACTTCATAGGAATTCGATAGCTAGTCNTTCAACTCTACCATTCGTTAATAGGCCGAAACCAATGAATTGATGACAAATCGCAGTCTGGAATATCCATTTATTCAGAAGATGTTTCTTGTAAACTGAAAATTATTCTTGTTCCCCTCCTACCTAAATCCTATTCAACAATATCCTGTAACATCACAAGATGGGGAACGCTATATAAATTCCCGTCTTCAGTGAAGACTCATTTTGGATGGGTCGAAGGAGAAGTATAGCATTGCCCAATGTTTAATAGGGTTACTATTTTACTGGCAAATAATTCTGTGACACAAATTGTCAACTGTTTTTGGGTGCTCCTTGGAAATTAATTCCGGCAACCCTGGCAGATCTGTCGATTGTAGAATCGATTTGATCAGTATATCGATTCGTATGCGAGTGTAGTTCGATTCAGATCTCAGATTATTGATGGAATCGAAGATGAATCGACTTCATAGGAATTCGATAGCTAGTCAATTTCGAATGACAAAAATTTATTGCACCTAAACTTGAACGACTCATGGGGTGATCGATTATGAAAGACTCCTTACGGTCGGACCAGGATCGACTTGAAGAAAGTCGATTGTGACTCGATTGCCCGCATATTATTCACATCAATCGAC